AAAAAAAAAAAAAAAAAAAAAAAAAAAAAAAAAAAAAAAAAAAAAAAAAAAAAAAAAAAAAAAAAAAAAAAAAAAAAAAAAAAAAAAAAAAAAAAAAAAAAAAAAAAAAAAAAAAAAAAAAAAAAAAAAAAAGAGAGAGGAAATTCCCAAATTGGTATCAGAGCTTAACTGATTGACTAACCTCTGGTTCAGGCTGTTGGTGCACAGAACCACTTGGGTGCTCCTCCTCCTCCCCCTTCACCTTCATCCAGTAAGAGGATGGAAGGTGAAGGAGAGGTATAAGAACAATTTTGATGTGCTGATGTCTTTTATTCTCCGTCCTTCCAAAAGTACACACTAGCAACCCAGCTCTTGTTATTTCTGTAAATAGTGTCTTTTTATTCATATCCAAGATCAAGAGGGCCTATGAATTGTCCCTGCCTGTTTAGAAGGACAAGCCAGCTGCATGTATTGCAATCTTGACTGTACTGACTCCTTTGATTGTACTGAGCTCTGGGACTGTCTGTCTGAGGGCTGTCAGGGCAAGGCTGGAGGAAACCTGATGGGATAGCACACGAAATGAAGATTTATTAGTGGAAAGGAGTAGAAATATTAGAATTATAGAATCACTTATGTTGGAAAAGACCTCAAAGATCGTTGAGTCCAATCGTATGCTGCATTTAGGTTACACCATCTAAATATGAACAGGAGAAAGGGAAAAATGGTCTGCTGAGGCTCTTAATACCACAAAAAAGGGTTTTGGAGAATAGCAGAAATATATGGGTCCTGGAGTTCAGCTTTAGCACTGAGATGCTTCCATGAGATGCTGATGGAGTGGGGAGTCAGTGAAGATGGAAGGAGCTGGGACAATTCAGCTGGTGAGGAAGGCAAAGGAATCTACCCAGAGATTTCTTGGTGATTAAAGGAAATATTCGGCACAGCATGAGCAAAAGTTCCATCCTATAGTGTGTTTGAGACAGTCTGCCAAATAATGAAATGGATTTAGGGCTTACTGTTGACAGATCCTTGGGTACTGCTGGGGAAAGAAAAAAAAGTAACATCATTAGAAGTCCTTATGCAGGATGAGGTTCTGGTGAGACCTTCTGAAAACTTCTAGTGGGTTATATGTTTAAAAGGAAGTTTTTAAACACTTGATTTGCCATGCCTGGCACAATAGGAAATGTGTTAGAAAGCTTGCAATATAGGGCAGAAAGAACTATGCTGAACTTTGAAAATATATGTAGAGAAAAGCTCTGGGGATTGGAGCAGTCTCAACGGAAATGAACAGACTTGCAGGAGCACTCAGTTAAAGAAAAAAAAAAAAACAGCACAATGGAAGAGTTTTCTGAGAAAAAAAAAAAAAAGGCATAGAAATGAGGTTTAAAGAAGTTACTTAAAAATCAGTCCTGATACCGTCAGTGAAACAAACGGCTTTGAGTGCTAAAAGGTATAAATTAGAAGGCAGGTAGCTGGGGATGAGATAAAGGATGACCTACTTGAAGAGAAGAAAGAGAATAAAGGTTTTCCTTCTCTGCCTGGTCCCAACTCTTTTAATTCTGATTGCAATTAGCAGCCATACTGAAAGCGTGTCACTCCATTAGTGTTATTTCCAGTTTTGGAAAGAGGCCACTGTTAGCACATTCTGAATAATGCTTGGAAACATTGTGTTTTAAAAAGCTGGATTTTTGCATGGTGTGAATTCCCTGCTCTGGAAATAGGGCAGAAGCGAGTAAGTTAAATGAAATGCTAGGACAGACATCTAACTTTATCTCAGGATCTAAATCAATGTGGGAAAAAGGAATTAACCACAGGGTTCCTTTAAGTGCAGAACCACCTGCCCCGACGCTTCCTGAGCGTACATAAAACAGTCTATGGGCATGTATGCATTTTATATTAATAATAAATCTATGTACAATCAGGCATTTTAACATCAATCTTAATCTAGCAAGACTTCTTTTTTATCAATTGAACTGCTATTTTAATTGACTTCTAAAAATGAAGCAAAGGCTGCTGTTAAAAGCGATGAGCATGATGCATAGTAACACACTGATTAGAATGCAGCTCCGTTCCCTCCTGACTTTTGCATAACTTGAGGAACTTGGCATTGGATGCAGTCCAGGTTTTATAACTGAAGATCTACAAAATTGAATGGTTGGCCAGTCTCACTTATTTTTCGCCCTTTTTTTTTTTTTTTAATAACAAAAAAGGAAGTAACTCATTGGCCTCAGTTCAAAAGTCTTGCAGACACGGGCTTTGACAGTCATGTTCATTATTGCATTTAGCAAATGATCTCCCTTTATTTACCAGTCTTACAGCAAATTCTGAAGATGGTACCAAGTCCTCTACCAGGGTCTGTGAGTTTATGTTGGCTCAAATCCAAACATAGACAAGGAAATAATGCAGTCATCTCATCTGACTTGCTGTGGACAGGATACGCTTGGAAATGAAAGCCAAGAGAAGCAAACAATTATGTGATATTTACACTGCAAAATTTCTAGCTATAAAACTGATAGAAGTAGAGTCAACAAATGTTAAAAAATATATAATAAATGCATCTTTTTATGCGCTTCCAACATTATTGAAGTCAGCTGAATTTTCTCCGTTTTCATTAGCTGACATTCCAACCTGACACTGCTTTCAGAGAGCTGTTTTCTCTGGCTCTTACCAGGGTACATGGGCTCGAGCCACTCTCAGAGGCTCCTGCTGTGTTGTATGTATGTTGGAAGAGTCATCTTTATGAAGCCACCAGGATTTGAAATCAGCCTGTCAATAACAATATTGAGACGAGTCGTGCTATCCATGTATCATCCTGTCTTACCTTGAGAAGGGCATTAAATTTAAGTTTAGTATAAGAAAGTAAACAAATGAGACATAAAATGTGCAATAAAAGGGAAGTATTTTAACCTTATTTTAACTCAGTGAGTTTTCAATTACTGCCGCTTTCCACTTCGCTGCTAATTCTGTCTCTGTTTGCTTTTCATTCTTAT